ACTGAATTAAAAAAACCGTACTTTATATTCTATTCACAATTTTGAATTGAGTAGTATTCATGATGCATAGAAAATGCTTATATTATTTTTGGATTGAAAGGCATAAAGATATATGTTCTATCCAATTCCTATAAATGAATAAAAATGCATTCAGAATTGAAAAGGATTCATTTTAACATTCATGAATAGTTTTTTTTCCTGAAAATTTCGATTTCTGAAAATCTGAATCCATTTTTAATCCATTTCAATCCATTTTCGTTTGTTGGGAGCGTCGACTCTTTTTATTAAAAGCTTTTTATTAATAGTTAATTTACTTTATTAGAGCCTATACAATTTTGAAATTATGCACACTTATTTATACAGCATTTATATGTAGTATATAAAAAAATGAATATAACAATGTATTATCGAAATATTCGAAATATTTATGTTAATAAATGCAAATTTTTATTCGATAATGTGTTAATTATCTCCAAGCCTACAAAACCCCATTAATATGTAATCACGAAAATTTGCCCAAGATCGTCTTTAATAGTATCTCGTCGGTGTGATAAAGTCAATATTCGATATTAAATTGTCGAAAATTTTGAAGCAACAGTCGATAACATCAGTACTCTTTAATTATCATCGAGCTTCCAATGATAATCACGAAAATTTCTATCTAATATCGGTAATCGTATCTTAATGTGATTATACGATATATAATAATTTATATCATTTAATATATAAATAATATATAGTCTACAGATATAATTTGAACGCAATCTGTATTTTTGTTGTATTTATAGTACGTAATTACAAATTTATTATCAGGATTTATATATCTTGTGTAAAATACTGAAACATACAATTATGAAAAATATTTTCCAATATATTAATATCTTGAAATTGAAACTTGACGTTACCATCGCACGAGGTCTCTAAATTCATTTTTCAGTGAGAGCGCCACCGGCTGTCAGTGAATTTCTCACGAAGAAGGTCACGCGAGTGCCTTTGAGATATATCGGGCGTGAGAGAGTGCTCTTCTCGCGAAAATTTTCACGACCATTTGACGCGTGACGTCCATTCACCACTGCCATCGACATGTTGCCCCGATTCCTCAGGCCCGTCTTAAATGTCAGCCAGCAAGGCGCAAAACTATTATCCACGAGTGCCACGGTAAAGTATCATTACAGCGAATCATAAAACTTTAATCTGTTTTCTGAGAAGTGAAAATCGGTCGGAAATTAATTATCATTAATATACGAGTAATGTGTAACATTTTACTACCTTATGTTGCTAGATATTCCATGTGCGGATAGCGATTCACTGGAGCAATAAATCCACTTTGGAAAAGTTATCCATTCCTTTGAAAAGTTATCTTTCAAAATCTTATTTCTCATGTAAATCTGTTTCAATGTATTCTTTTTTATACACGCTACATATAT